AAGCTTTGACAATAAGGGGACTTGTAATTTTCTGTACAATATGAAGATAAAGCATGTAAAAATAGCAATCGGATGGTCCGCCTCATCACACTGACCAACACACTCACCAGTCTTTGTCTTCAGCAGGAAGCGGTGGATGGTGTTTGAGACACTGGTCATGTAGGTCAGTGGGATCTGCCACAGGAATCTATCAGCACACAATCATAATTCAAATAATACAAAATTAAAAAAAAATTCTCATCGTCACTCGTGTTATCTGCCATGACACTCTTAATCTGACATTTTACCCTTCAGTGAGGGAGGGGTCGTCTGTCTTCAAGTAACGCTCCTGACTGAGCCTGACCTCACGACCTCTGACTTCCACAGTGACCAGTGGGAAGCCCTCCTGCAGTGTCCAGGTGTCCATGATGGCTCTGACATCCAGCTCATCGCCAGAGAACCATTTCTGCACAGGCACAGACACGGGACACATTTAGACACACAATCAATTAATAATTAAAACAGTAGCAAAATATCATGTCTGTAAAATAGCAAGACAGAAACAACAACAAAGATTTGTTTGTGGTTTGTTGAACTTCAACAAAGCCTGAAAACGTACAGAGGCTCCAGACTGGCTGCTGCGCTTGGAGCAGAACTCTTTGTGTTTCATTCGGCCTTCGTCCAGATCGTCTGAAGCACAGATCTGATAGGGAGGCACACAAAATGTTAGCAGATACTCATAACAGTGCCAACATTCAGCACACAATCTCAAACACACCAGGTTCCCAATGATATATTTACAACTGCGCTACTTATACTTCAGGGTTACACGAGCTGGAAAAAAAGCCCAATGTTTTACATCTTAAGATAACTGGGACATATTAACTGCTGCGATGGGATTAAGAGAGAATGCTAGACCTGGCATCGGCCCATCGACCAGATGTTAATCATCATGCAGAGGCATCCTGGCTAAAAGCCTTACTTACATGACTTGTCTTGTTAAACTTAATGATTAAAGCCGACGGAGTGACCACCTCACTAAAATGGATATTAAAATTTAAGCAGCAAACAGCAATAAAACAATCATTGTGTAAACACAGGGTTTTATCAGGGAATCAGTTCACTCACATTAGTCAGGCTCTCCCATAGGTGGCTGTTGACAGTGTTTTGGTAGCTGTAACGCTTGAGGTATCGGATGATGCCAATCTCGAAGGCTTCAGGAGTCAGGAAGTCCCGCAGCATATTCAGAATACATGCTCCCTAAAATAAACACAGCCATGCTGACAATTAACAATCCAATTACTTTCTAAACACTTTCATCAGTACTTTCACCTGTATGTTAATGTTCTGTTTCCACTGCACATTTGGGAATAACTAATTTATGCAAATTATTATTCATGGTAATTACTCACTCTTCTGATAAATCTACTTTTACTCCTACCAAGTACACTTAGAATTGTTTGTATGGTTCCAAAAATCAAGTGCATCAAAACGAAATGACTGGTCCTCTGACAGAATGAGGCTGACCTTGTCATATGAAACGTCGTCGAACATCTCCTGGATCTGTGTGGGGTTTTCCACGTGGGTGGAGACTGGGTGAGAGGAGCTGAGGGAGTCTACCTCCATGGCCTCAAAACATTTCCCCAAGAAGAAGTCATCCTGGGAGAAAGAAAGTGTGTTTAGAGCAGCACACCCAGTGCAATGTCAACATAATCCACAAATAATGTAGTTTAAGGTCATTTTTTATTTGCCATTCGGTTATTCAGCTAATGTACAGTACTTAACTTTTTTATCACACTATACCATTAGTATCTTTCATGTTATGCCTGTAAATGCTTTCTGAATTTAACTTGGAGAGACAGAAATAGTAATATAGTAATAATATGCTGTAGTGTGTAGACTTTAAGATACAATTCAGTCCCCGGTGCTCAGCTCTCACCACTTGCAGCTCTGGGTAGGTGATGTCGAGAGAAATATACTCCATAAACTTGGCAAAACCCTCATTGAGCCACAGGTCGTTCCACCACTCCATCGTCACCAGGTTCCCAAACCACTGGACGGAAGAAGAGTATGTAACATATAAATGCCAGCTTCACTTTTCTCGTACAGAATGACAAACTGTGACACCAACTAGTTATTTTCATTTTTCAAAACAGATGAAGCCTGTCTACCTGGTGTGCGAGCTCATGGGCGATGACCTTGACGAGACCCAGTTTGTCTGAAGCGGAGGACTTCTTAGGGTCAAAGAGGAGGCCCGTCTCTCTGTAGGTGGTCAGCCCCCAGTTCTCCATCGCTCCGGACTGGAAGTCAGGAATAGCAGCCAGGTCTGCAGGGAAACACATAAATACAATTAAATATGTTACATTCACGTCACCTGCTGCTCAAACTGTCTTTTCAACTCCGCTGAAACATGTACTAATATACATTTTTAAATTATTTTAAATATATAAATTATTTTCCATCATATTTATTGCTGTTTTCATGCCTTTAGAGACATTGCAGGTTCCCCCTGAACCTTTTTAATGCTCCTTTTTTTAAATATCTGTACTTTCATAAGGCTTTTCTGTTCATTCAGAAGTGGAAAATGTTTTACCCAGTCAGGGGCAAATTCACATGTACATATATACAGTCAAAGTGACCTTATATCAAGCAGAGCGATATGAGATAAGATGTGATCCTGGATGTCTGCACAAAGGACAGACATTCATCAACCAAAGCACACAAACAAACACAGAACTGTGACTTTGACACTGTTTTCAATGGTTAACAGAGTTAGAGAGGTGATCTTTTTATGCTGACATTTCTGGCATATGGCATTTGCCAAGTCTTTTCTTAAATTGAGTCAAAATATGTCCACTATAACATAAAACTACTTCAGTTCTAACAACTGTATATTTTTAATAAAATACATACTACTGCTACTGGCTTAATAACATGGTAATAACATGTACTGCCACTGACCCTGTTTGGGAAGCGGGTAAGGAATATCAAAATAGTCATCGTAGAAGTCCAACAGCTTGACAGCAGCATCCAGTGCAAAGGCGGTCTGGTCGATCTTCTCAGGTACAGCATAGACTGAAATCTGATGGGAATCAGTGAAGAACAAACTCCTCAGTATTAATGTTGCAGAAAGTTTTATCAATGGATGCATCGTTGTTACATGACCATTTCAAATGTATAATGTAGATACTGTCGAAGATGGCCCTCCAAAACATAGTCTATAAGACAGGTGAAAACAAAGTGACGAATATTTCTGACTAGGAAGCGAGCTAAAGGACGGCATGGCCAGTGTCCGTTGTCCTCCTCACCTTGACACCGTGCTGGGTGGTCTTGCTCACAGACAGGAAGTCAGACACAATGTAGGCCACCAGGTAAGTGCTCATTTTTACAGTGGTGTCGAAGTGATCCTCAAGCAAATCGCCGGGCAACTCCACGGTTTTTAACTGAGAAACACAGGGGTGTAGTGACAGAAACGGAGACGGTCAACTGGTCAGTTACAGATAGAGTACGGTGAATTAGTACCTCTTCAACCAAGTTAACTGATATTTCTGCGTGCACATGTACCTTAGGCATGTTGGATATGGATATGTGGCGTGGCTCTCGTATAATCCGTATGGTGAAGTTGGCTTTGAAGGCAGGCTCATCAAAACATGGGAAGGCTCCACGAGCAAAGGTGGCTTCAAACTGCGTAGAAGCCAAAACCCTAATAAAGTAAATAAATAATAGTGAAATAAAAATTAGATTAGATCTTTCCCATCAACCCATTTGCATGTTTGTCTGGACAGACAGCATCACCACATCAACAGTATCCTGAAATATCCAATAAATAGCAGTTTGACAAGACAGTCAGTCATATCACTTATGGTCTTACGTATACATTTATATCTCAAATAAATGCAGGATTGATTCAGTGATGTTAAAATGATACGTAAAGCTCAAGAAACAGAGGAAAAGAGGTTAATCGCTCTCTTACCGGACCTCCCCACTCTTGGTGCGGTAGCTGCTCTTGTAGAAACCGTGGAAGCTGTCGGACAAGTTGGCAGCGAACTCCAGCTGAACTTCATACCTCCTACCTTTGGTGAGCACCGAGTCTGACAGCAGGGCAAGCTGGTGGAAAGGAGGATACTCCAAAACCCGGAGAGGCCTCACGCCTTCGGGTGCGAGGAGCAGCACATTGGATACCTGCATCTGCTTGGCGTGGAGGACGACGGTGCTGGTGTCTTCATGCACGTCCAGCAGGATGCGAGCGACGCCGGTGAAGTCGAGGGTGGTCAGGTTGGGGTGGATGGTCAGGTCGTAGTGGATGGGGGAGACGGTTTTAGGAAGTCTCATGCGGTCCCAGGGGAACGGCTGGCCGTTGGTGGCGATGGGGACATCCTTGGCTTGGCCTTGATTTGGTAGCTGCGCTGCTGATGAGGGAGGAACAGGGACGAAGAGCAGCAGCAGCAGGAGAGGAGCTGCTAACATGGTGTCAATGAAAGCAGGAGGTCTTCTCACCTGTAATACAAATACAGGATTACGTTCAGAAACAGCTTTATTAGACATTTCCTACATTTTTAAATGATAAATCTTACTTCCTAAGGACCTGGGGACACAGATCATTCTCAGAGAACAACCAGGACTCACTTTGTTGTCCAATCAGAGAACATTTAGCATCACATTTCTTCAGATGGGTGTCACATTTTGAACTTTCTCATTTTACTATAAACTCAGACTCAGTTATAGCTGCATAGTTAGTCAAACAACTGCAAACACACAGTAAATGAGACAATGACAGCGCACAAAGAGGACAGGTGAGCTGGAAGTGCAACGCTTTCGATTTCATAAAAATGTCCATTCATTTATGCTCACGAATCCCTCTGGAGAAAAACTCCAGTTTCACCAAAGCTGAAGCGGCTGTATCGTCTATTATCTTACACTCTCGACAAGAGTCAGCTGTGTACCAGTTATATGCCAAAATACAATGTTCAGCTCACCGTGTCGTCTTCTGCACGCAGGTTTCGCACTAATAATTCAAGAGTGAAAGTGAAACAGACCAAGGAGGAGTTGCATGCTGGGAGAAACCAGAGGAAACGTCCTCTGCTGCGTAAGATGGCATTTAGTGCATCACCAAAACTTCCAGACCGGGAGGTATAAAGACATGCGAAACGTTTTTCACGACCATTAAATGTTGCACAGTAACAACTGTATCAGTCCACGGTTGGGAAAAGGTAGCAAGAGCAAGAGCGACAGTGTATTAAGGTAGGAAATAGAGGGAAACATGCACTGTGAACAGGAAGTTCCGTGTTGTTATTGTCTGCAATGATATATTTCACCACCAGAGTGCGCTGTTGCGTCGATTTACGGTCATTTCTGCTTCCCTTCGGTTCATTTAAGTTTCTGGGTGATGATAGTCGTCCCTTAGATGTTAATACATTTTACTGAACTAGCTGAAATGAATTGGATTCAGTTGAATTTAACTCAACTGGCATTTTTTCCCCCAAACACCATGATTTATTGCAAAATGTGTAAACCTGACCTCAGTGAGCATCAGCAAAACATGCACACAATCAATGATTCATACTGACATCTCTGTATTCAAAGCATATTTACTAACTGGTTTAAAAAATCACATATAAAAATTAACAACTGCAGCTGCACATTTGTTTTGTTCACAAAATAAGGCAAGACATGGAAAAGGTCCCAAGAGACAAAAAGTTTTCCAAACAAGTCCAAATGCTGACAGGAAAAGTGGGAAATCACACCTACAGTCCATATTAAAGTTAATTTTTCACAGAACTATCATCGCACAGGTTGCATATTGAACCAGAAGGAGGAAATCACCCTAAAACCACCCTAATAAAGATGTGCTCATGTGGCAATAGCATACAGAATAAAAAGACATGTACTAATAAGCTCACAAGATTTGCATAAAAGTTTAATAAAATAGGCAAAGACAAGGAGGTCTTAGTTAGGTTCCTCAATTGGATTTATGTGTTTTTATTGTTATATTTAAGTCAATAAACTGGCTAACTTACTAATTATTAATGTAATGAAGACTATAATATAGAATGAAGGATTGTAAAGTTTTATGTTCCCACTCCATCATTTGAAACTCATCTTGGACCGATAAAACAACTACTCATTCAGCTGTTCAAAGTATATGCAGCTGAAAAGACAATTTGGCAAGCGATTGCCTTTAAGCCATGAATCCAGTTCAGTTAGCTTTGGTAAAACAAGTCATGTCTTTCATCTTGCATTTAATCCTTTTTAGAGGGACACTTTTACATTCAGAACCTCCTTTTCAGATATGACTTTCCAAATCATAATCTCACTTTGTAACCTGGTGAGGATATCTAAACTGTAAAAATATAAAATAAACCAGGAACTACTGAATATGCAAATATTTGTATTAACATTGAAAATAAATTGATTTACACTTGCCTCACACACATACACAAAGGGATAAAGTCCATCCCATCTGCAAACATTAATGAGTAAACTTTACAATGAGCATGTCTCTTTCTTACGGGAGGTCACTACTGCAGCTGCACTGGTGTTGCAGTGATCATTTGGGAACCAGATGCAAGGATTTTCTCTTACATAAGACTCATTCATAAGCAACACCAAAGCATTCCTGAACTTTGCAGGGAGCTCACTGTCAGGCTGTCAGAAAATGATAAAGCAGCTGTTGATTTCGATTGTGTGTGGTGCTGCCATGCTGACCGTAGGTATCCTAATCGGCCACTATGGTATCACCAAGGCACCGTCCTGGGTGAAGGATGAGATGAAGGATGTGGACGAGAGCCTGATTGAGAAGTTCTTGTCTGAGGTGGACAACATCCAGATTCAGGAGAACCTAAAGTGAGTTGATGAATTGTCAAATTTAGATTTTATTGGTCACTCAGTAAGGCTTTTTCTTTTTGTTTATGTGTTAAGTGACAAAAAAAAGACCTACTAAAACCTACTAAAACACCTTTATCAAGCAGCTTTTGAGTTTGGTTTTCAAGTGTCTCATCAGCATTCTTATGAGGTCCAATGGGAATACTCCAAATTATATTATTCTTTAGTTTTAATATCCAACACGTAATTTTTTTTATCTTTATGCTCATCTTCCTCCACAGGGAGTTGACCAAAGTGCCTCATATGGCCACCACAGCTGGAGACGAGCAAACAGTGCAGTTAATGCTAAAGAGATGGCAGGACCCTGAAAGCGGCCTGGACCAGGCCTGGAGGGAAGAGTATTTGGTCTACTTGTCCTTCCCCGACCCCAAGAACCCCAACAAGGTCACTGTAGGTGAGTCAACAAGTTGCTGAACGTGTTTTTTGAAATGAAAGTGGGGGCAGTCACAGCATCCCTCTCCATTCAGTACATTTTTAAATGCTGAAAGTCACTGGGTCTTTCACTACAGTAGTGGTAGTGGGTCCAACACAATGAATTCATAGAAACTGTCCAAATGAAACATTACATTGTAAGATGGAGTGAGTCAATAGACTTTACTCCGTGTGTTGTGCTGTATGATTAACTGCTGTGAAAGCTCCAGTAAAACTGGATTTGAATAATCCGCGACATCTGCAGGATTATCCCAAGGAAGCCAAAGTCCTCAAGACACTTGTAAATGATTACATTTAGCTCATGTTTCCCACCGTGTCGCATCAAAATCAACTTTAGCTGGAAGTAATATTTTTTGTTTAGAAATATAATTTACATTCCACATTCAGTCCAGATTCCACTCCGAAAAGAAAACTGGAACTAATCAAAAAAAATCCACAGTCTGTTAGATTTTCACTACATTTTTGTGGGTTCTAACATCGAGTAGGTTTTCATTCTGACTGTGACCCAATGAGTTTCACTTCATTTACTAGCAGACCATTCACCACAAGTTGTTTATTTCAGTGAGCCCGTCTGAAACTGTGCTGCACACTGCCAGAGAGAAAGAGAAGAGTTATACTCCAGACCAAGATGATCCTGCTGTTGTTCAGCCGTACGCTGCGTACTCCCCCGCTGGACACCCAAAGGTAAATTCAGTTTCTGACCATGGCCTGGCATTCACTGTATCATTATAGAGAAAAAAATGAATTATGAAAATACCTATATAGCACACAATAGAGACTGTGATGTATTGTATTTATGATTTCCTACAATGTATTTAATGGAATGAATAGAATAGGCTCCATGCTGCCTCCTGATGTAAAGTCATTT